TTTACCAGCTTCAGTGTTAGGTGTGATGGAAAAGTCCTATAAACACTTAAAGGCACACTTTTTTATTTATTTATCTATTTTTTTGAACTTGGACTATGATATTAAAGAATTGAACACTGACTCTTTCTATTCAAGATCTTACAACAAATGAAAAGTTAACTATTCTATTGTAATTGAAGCCCATGCCAGCTATGAGAGGAAAATGCACCGCTTTCTACCAAGAAGATTAGAGGCTGTTTCTAGCAAGGCAAAAACCAGTTATTAAAGTTTTCTAGCTAAATAAAGACTTTGTGTGTTACTGGGGATGTGTAAGCAATTAGCTCCTGCCATCACACACAGGATACGTAAAGTGGGATGTAGGAGAAGCATGGGCAGGGGCTTAAGTAGAGCTCTACTGAGCCCCACCTAAATACACTTTCCTGCCTTATAAGGTTAACATCTACCGCAAGATACCCCAGATGAGGTGTGCGGAACTTAAAACCCCTTTTTACAGAGAGTCAGGGTAGATTCAGGATCTGCACAGAGAGCTTCAGATCCTTGCTCTGTCTCTCACTGGTGGTGGATCGTAAACAATTCACATAAACTCTTTGAGCAACAATCTCCCATTTTGTAAAACAGTGTGAATAATACCTACTGTGCAGGGTTGTTGAAATATTTAACTATAATATACATAAACTATCTGGCATATAGGAGGGTTTCAATACATGATAAATATTGCTATAAATATAACAAATCTCCATGTTTCCCTCCAAATACACACACGTGGGGGGTGAGGGGAGAAGTGAGGGGGAGAGAATGGGCAATAATTATATGCTGTTGAGAAAAAGGAGGTCTCCAGAAACACTTTTGTTACTCTATCATTTCACCATTTCAGGTATAATATAGAATTTACCCAAGCTATGGATTTTACATCAGGTCATCTTCCATTCGGAGGGACATATTACTTTGATTTCCCAGAGAACGAACAAGAAATATTCTTCAGGGGAGAGGGAGAGGGAGAGATTGCCCATCAGTCATGTCTTCCTCAAGAGGCTGATCAGTGTGAGTCTACCTGGCTAACCCTCTGAGATCACCTGAACTCTTTTTGCAAGAGCTTCAGTAATACACCCATACATTGAACACAAGTGGGATATGTGAAGGGGAGTGAGCAGGTGAACATCCTCTCCCTCATTCCTGCTTACCACCCCCAACCACATACACATGTCATTCTCCATACGATGATCTGCCTTTCTAAGACAGAGAAACAAAGCAGGGACCTCCTTTCTTAAAATACTACCTTCAGTGCCTGACGTTTCAACCACGACTCTGAGGGTCTGTAGTGGAAACATGGTGTGCGACCCAGAACCCCTGTATGCGGAGCCTGTCTTTCCCTCCACTGCTAGGAGAATTGCCTGTTGATGACTCACAACTGACTCCCTCTCCAGGCATTGCCCTCAGTCAAAGGGAGCTACCTTGCTGTCCTAGGGCAGCCAGCATCCTGTGACTACTTGGGGTGAAAGTACAAAGGCCCTGCGCCCTTGCCTCAGTTCCGGAAGGGCCGCTCCAGCTCTAGAGCTCTGCAAGGGGTCCGCGGAGGCAACTGATTCACAGTCCAAGTTTTCTTCCATCTCCTCTGAATGGATGCTGACTCTTCTTTTTTCCCTCGCCCCCTAATAGGTGTTTGTTCCAGCTCTCTCTCCTTGCATGCAAATCTCCATCAGAGCCTGTGTATAAAAACTCAGTCTCTGAAAGATTCTGAAGATCAAGCAAAACTCAGATAAATACTCAAATACTTAACCACTTCCACATATCTGAAATATTGCAATTGAAGGTGGGATGTAGAGAGGCCGAGGGGAATCTGAGCTTACATTAGTGCTGTAGGATGCAAAAGAGAAACAGGCTCCAGCTCTTGAAACAATGACTGGACCGCTGCCAAGGGTTTTGCAGAGTGTACTTCTGGACTCTGTGTGCATAGAAAGCAGAGGGGGATGATAAAATGCCAGTCATTGTCCACTTCAAACAATTCAGAATCCACCCTGAGGCTAGCTGAAAACTGGCTTGGGAAGTAACAATGACGTGAGCAAATACAGGAAATAATCACAATAATGAGCTTTAGTAGGGTGCTTCACAGATTACAAGGCATTTTCAAACACTGGCCCTTTCCATCCTCCTGACAGAAAACCACCAGATAAGTAGGCTTGTTCTTGGTACTACCACCTCCCTATGAGGAGATAGATACTGGCTCAGAGAACTTCTCCCTGTCGCACACCTGAGCCGGGACCCACATGTAGTGGTCACTCCATGCCCTGGGCACATTCCCCCAGTCGAAGATGCTTATCCCCAACAGTACCAGCTTGACGTTCTCTCCTTGGAAATTTCATCACAGACAATTCCGTATGTAAGATAAGGAATGAAGTCAGAAACATGAGCCACTTGCTTCATAAAGGTGTATGATCTCGCTTCCCAGAATAAGGCATTCACTCGGTATGAAAGATTTTTTTCATGGGTGTTGTGAGGACCAAATCTGAGAGTCTTTAGAGACTATCTGATTTAAACTATTGAAGTAGGAAGCATGCAGTGTGTATTTGTGGAAATTTTGTGTTCTTAATAAATTTAGCCTTTGTTTTCTATGAGACCAAACCACTCAGGCTCTTTGCTTAAGAACTTGCCTGAACCGAGAAACACAGACTTCTTCAGTATGAGAAGGTGGAGGGATTCGGAGTGAAGGATAGGGCAACTGAGTAGTGATCCCCTCAGAATTCTGAGGAGGGGAAATCAAGACAATATCTCCTGTAATTGCTCTCATGATTTAATTGTTTTGTCCCCTGCTCAACCCCATGAACATTTACTATTTTTACTGCCTGACTTCAGGATGTATCTACTGAAGAAGCAGCCATGAGAGTGATTTTTCAAGTATGTTTTATTTTTTTTTTTCATAACCTCATAAATGCACAGGCTGCTGAAAAAAAAATAGCTGAAAGAAAATCTAGAAAGGATTGTTATCCTGACCTAAATGTTGCATTGAGGTGTATGGGACCTAAAAATATACATATATATGGCTGTCATATTCCATGAGGGAAATGTGGGTTAAATATTCTTTGTTTGATATTCTACTTAGTTTTGTTGAACCTTTAAAGCCATTTTCACTTCTTAAATTGCACTACTAGCACCCACAAAGAAGATCAAACCTGAATTTCTTAATAGGATATACTCAAAGCTTAAATATGTGTTATATGATTTAAGGAAGCATATATTTGATTACTGCTAAGTGGATCTCCCATTTGTTTCAGTGTGATTTATGAGAAGCTATTCTTAAGCTGTTCTACTTCCTAGCTGTTTTGATACCCAGGGTGTCCATTTATGGCACGCCAGAGGGAAGCATGGCATTAGGAGTAGATTTTTCTTACAGCGAAGTCGTGAGTCTGCATGAACTTTTTAAACAAGAACTTTGAGTGCACTCCAATCTGGAACACATAATTATTTCATGCTGACTAAAATCAAGAAGAAGAAATATGTGACTATACTCACAGATGTAATTACAAATTACTACCTATGCCTCATCATTCCCATCTACTCAAAATCCTTGCTGGATTTCTTTACTTGAGCTTAGCCAAAAGGCCGAGAAGCAATCTTTGCTGGATTTCTTAAAATGATGACTTCTTATTTCTGTAATTGAAGGGAATTTTGAGTATAACGTCACTCTGTGTCATTTCCAGGCACTTTTTAATGCCTGATGATATTGGTTAGAACTTGAGGGATGATTCTAATGACATTAAAATAGTTTCACAAGCACACAGGAAAAATTCCTCTCCCTTTCTGTCCTTTTATATTTATTTACTTTTTCCTTTCTACACAGAATGGCAATAGTCTACAATAACTCCTGAATTTTTTTTCAGTGTGACTGAATGTTTAAATGCATCATTTTATAGATATCGTTTGACTTTTTTTTTTTACATAAATGCATGATAGCCTATGTTTGTCAGAAGGAAGCTCATTTGCCAGTGTCCTGTCCATTAACTCAGTCTCTTAGATACTGCTTCAGTTTCCCTCTGTATCAGGCATCTTTCCACCTGGAAAAAATATCATATCATTTTTTTTAATTTGAAGTATTCACTTATTTATAAAAGTTTTAAATAAACCCAATTCTAGTACTGATACTAGGTAACCTGGCTATTTCTACTCTATGTTATTTAGAAAATACTTATTCTTCTTTTGTTTTAGATCTTCAAGCTAGTCATTTCTCTATGGCAGAATTTGTTCTTCAGTCCCCTGACAACTTTAAAAAATCTTTCTCAGATTTTTGCTCTGACCAAATGCTTATTTGTATCATTACAGAAAAATAAAACTTTCCCCCCATCAATTATGTTTCTTGGGCATTTAATTAGTCTCTACTGAATCCTGGCTTCCAACAGCTATCCAGGTGGAGAAATTAAGCATCCTAAGCTGTGGCTTTTTCTGTAACCCTTCCAATAAATGGAGGCCATTCTGGAAATCCATCAAGAATGCTCTGTGGTACTGTAACTGGGAAACCTTTTCTTACCTTTCCCTATGTACACTAATCCTTATCCTTTAATATACAAATCAAATTTTATCTCCATTGTGAAGTTTTCTATGATTCATCTCATTCCTATTTGAGAATTGACTCATCTGCTTGCATGAGCAAAACCAAGCATATTTGGAAGTCAGTGGCTGGGATCACTTTATCCTCAGAGTCAAGTGGGTTAGAAAACTGGTTGGATGAGCTCATGGAGCTATTTTAAGGTAAATAGAATAGTAAGAGAGTTTTTGTTGAACAATCTTGACCACGTCATTGCACAATGGCTTTAGAATCAAACAAATCTAGTGTGGACTCAGTGAAATGGATACAAATTTATTTACTTTTGTAGACATAGGGCTATTCGTGTACTCTATTTTTTTTGAGGGAGTTTTATGGTTTGCTCTCTTCAGGAAGTTTTCAATTTTTTTTTAACTTTTGAAGTTTTTTATTCCTTTTTTGTTTTTTACTGTTCAAATTTTCCTTTAAAAGTTTGGAATGCTTCAAGAATCTGCGTATCATTCTTGCACAATGGCCATGCTCATCTTCTCTGTGTTGCTCCAATATTAGTATACAAACTGCCTGCGTGGGCACAAATTGGTCAGTTTCATATGAATTGTTCACAATAAACCCTTACTACTACCCTTTAAATGTTGGTGCTGATGGAAACCAAAATTTAGTGTAGACTCATTAAATGTTTAAAAACTATAATTAAGTTGGTTGGATCTGTAGTGTGAGCTTTCCCCTTTCACTTGAGATATTGGGATATTGGTTACGAGTATCCTTTCTCTTTTTCCCTATTCAGTCTGCATAAAGTTTTATCCATTTTATTGATTTTTTTCAAGGTACCAGTTTTTGATGTCATTTATTTTCTCTATTGTTTTTTTTTTTGTTTATTCGTTTATTGATTTCTGTTCTTATCGTCACTATTTTCTTCCTTCTGCTAATTTTGAGTTAAATTTACTCTTCTTTTTCTAATTTCTTCTTTTTATTGATTTTAGAGAGAAAGGGGAAGGGAAAGAGAGAAACATCAATTTGTTGTTCCACTTATTTATGCATTCATTCATTGGTTGATTGTTTAGGTACGCTGACTGGGGATCAAACCTGCAAACTTGTTCAATGGGGACAATGCTCAAATCAACTGAGCTTCCCAGTCAGGGCCTTTAGTTTCTTGAGATTATTAATTTGACATCTTTCTTCTTATCTAATATAAGCTTTTAGTGTTATACATTTGTCTCTAAATATTTCATTGGCTTCATCCCACAAGTTTTTATATGCCATATGCTCATTTTTGTTCATTTCAAAATATTTTCTAAATTTCTTTTTCACATGTACACTATTTAGAATGTAGTGTTTAAATTCCAAATATTTGGAGATTTTCCAGATAACTTTGCTATTAATTGTTGATATCAGCTCTCCATCTGGCCCTGAGTTTGAAGTTATGACTCTATCTTCTCTAGGATATGATGATGGGTCCCTACTAGTATATGATCCCTGAAATGTGCCCTCCAACTTCATGTACCCCACCCTCTTGCCCTTCAGTATTCCTCATAGGACTCATCTGAATGTGCCTGACTCCCAGTCTTCTACATGATGTGATAGAGGGATCAGAGACAATGGCAAATTTGATAGAAAATCAACAGATATCTAATTTAATCAAATTAAAAGACTACCAAAGTGCATTAAGTGTTTGGCAGAGGTTAGATAAATAATACACAGACTGCATTTCTCTGGAAATAGGCAGTGAGAAAAAGGGCATTGAAAATGCATTATGTGGTTTTACTCAAACTTGATAATTAATAGGGGTGATAAAATTAAGGTATAAAGGACTCAAGATTGTTAGTGAAACTTTGACATAACCCTGCAATTCTTTCATAATTGTGTTCCTCTTTTTTAACATGGCATTTTTTCTCAATTTTATTGAGAAATATTTACATATCTCACTGTATAAATTTACAGTATACAGCAGGATGATTTGATTTACATATATTGTGAAATGATTACCACAATAGGTTTAATTAATATCTATTATCTCATATAGATACAACAGAAAGAAAAATAATTTTTGCCTTTGATGAGAACTCTTAAGATCTACTCTCCTATGTATCATAGCTCAGTGTTAACTTTAGTCATCATATGTACAATTACTAATACTTATTTATCTTATAACTGAAAATTTATTCAGATGTGTGAAAATAACACACATCTGATGTCTCATGCACTGTTGGTGGGGACGCAGATTGGAGCGGCCACTGTAGAAAGCAGTATGGAGTTGCCTCAAAAAAATTAAAAAGTTAACTACCTTATGACTCAGCGGTTCCAATTCTGGGGATATATCCAAATAAATCAAAACACTAATTTGAAAGAATATATGCACCCCTATGTTCATTGCAGGGTTATTTATAATAGCCAAGGTCTGGAAGCAGCCCAAGTGTCTATCAGTAGTTGAGTGTATAAAAAACCTGCGGTACATTTACACAATGGAATGCTACTTGGCCATAAAAAAAGAAGGAAATCTTACCCTTTGCTAAAGTATGGATGGACCTGGAGAAGATTATGCTAAGTGAAGTAAGCCAGTCACGGAAAGACAAGTACCATATGATTTCACTCATATGTGGAATCTAATGAGCAAACAAACAAACAAAATAGAGACAGACTCATAGAGACAGAGAACAGACTGACAACTATCAGAGAGGAGGGGGGTTAGGGATGGGTGAAAAAGGTGAAAGAATCAAGAAAAAACACACCATCATAGATACAGACAACAGTATGGTGATTACCAGAGGGAAAGGAAGGTAAGAGAGGTAAAAGAAGGTACAAAGAGAATAAATGGCAATAAAAGTAGACTTGATTTGGGGGTGATGAACACACAATACAATATACAGATGATATGTTATAGAATTGTACACCTGAAACGTATATAATTTTATTAGCCCATGTCACCCTAATAAATTCAATAAAAAATAAAATAAAAATCAGCAAATTGATTTGTGATGTTGCTGAAGTTGACCAATCAATTTTACTGTAGTTTAAAGTTACTTCTCATTTTGGGGGATAAAAAATAATTTTCTTGTTAAAAATTAAGGCACATAATTTGCTCTTTTGGATTAATGTTGTGACCCTATCTAGCATCACTAACTGATAGAGTACTGATTGCATTATGTTAAAAGTCTTTGGGTATTGAATTTTAAAATGTTTTATAATCACAAAATGTATCCTAGAGATAAAAAGCAGATTTTATTTTATAATAAAAATGACTTAGGAAACTTGGTTGAACCGAAAAAAAAGGAAAAAGCAAAACAGAGGGGGGGAAAAATGGAAGGCTAGCGGTTGAGGTTTTAACTCTTAGGGAGGATAAAAACCATTCTTATAATCAAAACTTCTAGTTATTTATTATGATGGTAAAGAGATTGAATGACTTTTTACAATCTTGTCTTCCTGGCCACCTGTCCACATTCTCTGTGCCGCTGCGGCTGCTGCTCTAAGGGAAAATAAAGATGCCCTGGGTTGCTATTGGGTTTACTGTTAGTGACGTTCTCACTCGTGTGCCTCAGTCAGCCCTACTGAAGTCTGGAAAAGTGTGATAAATAAAAGTCAGATGATGGACTGTGAATTGATTAGGAGCTTTGATATCATGTTTAGCATTTGGTGGGTTTTGTTTTGTTTTGCTTGTTTTCTGGATCCATTCTACAACTCTGAACAGCTAGCATTCCATTTCAATCTCAACAGGAACTAAAGAATACTGAACACTATACTGTTTCAGCTATTAAAAGCCCAAAATATCACTAAGAACAATGGCTATGGAAGAAAAACAATAATAAAGTTTGTTTTGTTTGACAGCGACTGACAATGGTATCATTGTCCACACATGTCTGTCTATAAATACTGTTAGACATCTTGCAGCTCTTTCCCCTCTAGTATAATCCAGGCGTGGAATTGGTTGATCAACCCATCACCATGGATACTGAAAAATCTGCCCAAGAGACCTCAAATGCAGATCATGGATAAAATTGTATCTGCTGCTGTGACTGATGCCAGTTCTCTCTCCCTCTCATTAGGAAGAGCAGCCCCAGGGAAGAGGCCAGTGTCCCCAGAGGCCCCCATCCCCTTGGGTCCGGCTCTCACCCTTTACCTGCCTCTGCTTCCCAGTCTCTCCTGAGTCCTGGGCCCGCAGGTCCCACTGTGTATGCACACAGGAACCCAATGATACCAGCTCTGGGCTCACTATTTGTCTCTGGGATACCCACATCTAACCTTTAAGGATTTACCAATTTCTCTCTTGATCTAAACCAAGGATGAAAAATCTGTTACTTTTGTTTTAGCTTAGACAAAATGCTAAAACTGAGAAGAAAGCAATGAGTTTCAAAACAAAACTTAATTCAAATTCTTGTTCTTCCTTTAACTCACTATAGACTTTGAGTCAATTACCTCACTTTTAATTATTCATTCATCCAAGATTTTCTGAGGGACTACTATGCAAAATATGCTTAGGCCATAGATATGCAAAGGAAAATGAGAAACAATTCTTGTTCTCAAGGAGCTTACAGTGGAAAACAGAAGATGGAAATGCACAGCAATGTTTACATGCTGGGTGGCACAGACCATGGGAGGCGGAAAGGAAGGAATTCTTACAGGATCACCTCTCCCAGACCAGGAAGGTCAGAATGGGCTTCTGGGAGGCAGAGGGTCTGAGGGTAAGGACAAGCAGGAGGCAGTCAGTGCAAGGGGGCAGGTGGGCATAGAGGTACAAAAGGAAGAAAGAGTAAATGATCACGGAATTCAAAAATAGAAAATGTTATCCTGGCATGCCACCTGACCTAGCATGAAAAATTGTCATAACAATATAAATATCATTAATTAGTTATTCCTATTTTTAATTATATTTATTGATCATGCTGTTACAGTTGTCCAAATGTTTTCCTTTTAGCCCCCCTCTACTCAGCACTCCCCACCCCCTCAGGCAATCCCCCCACTATTGTTCATGTTCATGGGTCATATGTATAGTTTCTTTGGCTACTCCATTTCCTATACTGTACTTTACATCCCCATGGCGTGAATGCCTTTAATTAGTTTTTAAAGCTGAACTATAGACAAAACTATTATCAATGGTTTCAGCATATGACATTAAATATTAACATTATTTAACCACATAAAAGAAAATTATTACATTTACTCTCTGATGTAGGAATTCCACTCCTAGGTATTTCACCAAGACAAATGAAAACATGTCCACACAGAAACTAGAATAAAGATATTCTTAGCAGCTTTATACATATTAATCCAAACTGGAAACAACTCAAGTGTCTATTAACAGTGAAATGGATAAACAAATTGAATTTATACAATGCAATACTCTTCAGTGGTAGAAAGAGATAAACTATTGATACATGCAACAACATGGATTACTCTCACTGACGTTATACCAAGAGAAAGAAGCCAGACACACACAAGATATAAAATACTATGTTTATATTTATGCGCAGTTCTAGAAGAGGAACATCTACTCCATAGCGGAAGAAGTCAGATGAGTTTTTACCTCTGGAAGGTGCAGGGGACTGACTATGAAGAAGAACAAAGGGAAATTTCTGGGGTGATAAAA